AAGCTTGAAAAATTTATAGAATTTGCGACCAACATACCGTGACCGTTCGCGAACTTTTTGGAAGAGAAGGGAGCGATGACGAATTGGAAAAATTTGAGAGAGTTCCAGATTTTCTAGAGCTTGTGACTCTGAAATGGCTGAATAGGGGGTAGCATGCGGGAGCCGCGTATACAAAAGAAAGATTTTCGTTGAGCTGCTTCAAATGAAACGATTTCAAAACTTATTTTCTTTTGCATGCAAAACCAAGTCAATTACAAAACTTTGAACTCGTGTTTGTTACTTTTAAGATTTTTGCGACCGAAGGAGGGAGGATACTTCATGGATTCGCATACGAGATGGTATTGTTGCGCTTCGGTTCTCGAGAAAAAGTGCTCAAAAAAGCCAGGCGTTTGATCGTTACTAATTCATTACCTTAGAAACTTCCACGGAACCTCAGCTATTAGAATGTTCATTTCAACTTAGATTTACGCCATCAGCTATTGCTCTTTTATACTGTATTACGGCGGAGATTTTTTAACGATCAGCATAATAGCTGCCTTCCTAAGGAAGACTTGTGAGATTTTCGCAATAGAGTTTTCGAGCAAGTAATTTTTAAAAACAGATTATAGAGTTTTATAGATTTGCTTATGCGATGTGAATGAGTTTCCATGGGCATTATAACTATAACTGTGGTGTTATTTCACAGAAGAAACCACCGTAAAGCATATTTTTCATACTCAGGATCAGCTGCCGAGCTTTGCCTAGTTGCAAATGCCAGTTCCATCGTGGCTGATTAGTTTTACTCTCACTTAAAATCCTCTCGATATTGCTTAAATGTAAATTAGTGAAAAGCGATCGTTAACTTGTTTTATACTGTAATTCTAAGCCGAAGCCAGCCCTGCAAGCTGATACATCAGCTCCCTCCTCTCAGTCAAACTGGATATGAGCTTGAGAAGTTCTCCATTGGTGACTGCCATATACAGGGTGCCCCAAATATAAATGTGCTTGCTGTTTGACTGTTGATAATTCTTTCGTCATAGAGCCTTTCAAAAGGATTCAGATACTATTTTGTAAGCTTCAACTTAGATTTACAGTATAGAGCGAATCACGATCGCTATTCATTACCGTAAGATCACGGTGAAAACTTTTGGCGTATGGTGGCGCTGAGAAAAAGCTGCCGTCTCAAAAACTTTCAAAAATGTGAAAACTTATAGTATGGTTTCCAGGAACGCTGAGTTACTCAACCATGTCCAAAATCGTGAGGCCTCCTAAGCGATGTAACCACATTTTCTTAGCAACCTTCAAAAAAGGGCTGCTACTGCTCGCCTGGCATACACTTTTTTATGAGGCACTAGCTGGCTTGCCCGGCTCCGCCGGGCCTGCCAGCTAGACCCGTGTACGTATGTTCCGAATAGAAATTTTTATCTCTGAACCGATTGGGACCGAACTTTGCACACATACACTTCGGGGCAGGGAGCGTGTCACAGCCCACTTTTCGTTATCGATCGATGTCGATTTTACCGATTTTTTGCAAAATTTGAGCTAGGGGGCTAGGATTTTGCACAGGGGGGTAATCGAGCATGCTGATCACCCCTTCGGGGTGATCAGCATGCTCGATTACCCCCCTCTGCCAAATCCCAGCCCTCTAGCTCGAATTTTGCAAAAAATCAATAAAATCGATATCGATCGATAACGAAAAGTAGCCTATGACACGCTCCCTGCCCTGAAGTATATGTGTGCCAAGTTTGGTCCCGATCGGTTCAGAAATAAAAATTTGTATTCGGAACATACGTACATACATACAGACAGACATACAGACAGACAGACAAACAGACATTCAGCTTTATATATAAGATTATATTGAGATACAAATTTACTAGAATCAACAACCTTACTTAACAGTAAAAGAGTCTCCAGATCGTTTTGTGTCCTTTTTGAACCAAAACATTGCCCTACATGGCTCAAAATCCTCTTTGAAGTTCCTGCCGTTATCCTGCAGTAATGAAGAAAGGTGAATCGCTTTACACTGTAAATCTAAGTTGAACCCAGTTTTACAAAGTGGTGCCTAAAACTTCTCGAAAGACTTGACAAGAGAATTATCAACAATCACAGTGGGCGCATTTTTGGGACACCCTGTGTAACCCGAGCTGGCTTATCCGGCTCCGCCCGGCCCTGTCAATGCTTTGATTAAGTTTTATCCCTATCCCTGTAGAACCTTTCATTGTGCCCACTTTTACATGCAATTCCCTATTCCCGCTGTGTTAGTAATTATCATGCCCACCTACCTCCCTCAACAACTCCCAAACCCGTAGCTCAAACTTTGCAAAAAAAACAATAAACCCGTAAAAGTAAGGATAATTCTGAAAACTGATAGCGCTATTCGGCTATCCGGCCCCAAAATGTTTTTGTGATGGATCTTGCTCAAAGTCGGTACATGGGGATTATTAAAGCCTCTGGTGACGAATATCGTAGTCATTTCGCGCGATATAGCGCCATTTTCTTGGTTTACGTTGGGTACACATAAGAAGCTAAAACCATGGATTTCGCTGAAACTTTGAGGGGAGCTAATTGACATGCTGATTACGAATATCATACTCCTTCGGCATTTTGAGGCGATTTCATTGAGTTGTGGTAGGTATACTGCAGAGGGGCGAATTCTCAGTTTTGGCTGAAACTCGGTCTAGAAAGATACGACCTTCTGACCACGTCTAAAATACTCTCGTTGCGTTTAAAGACCCTTTCGCAGAGTTACAGTAGGTACATGGCAGCGGGTAAAAATCATGAACCTGCCTGAAACCTTGGCGGAATTACCTAAAGTGCTGTTTCAAGAATATCGTGCTCAATCCCCGCGATAAAGGCAATTCGTGTGGTATAAAAGTTTTCCATGACCGTGATGCTTTCCCTTATAAGACCACTCCTTCGGCGGCTTTTGCCTAAGCAAAAACAGGGTGAGGGAGATTTGCCGCGTGAGTTAAGCATTGGGACAGGTTATCAGGATGGCGCTGGAGACCGCCATGCAAAACGACCGTTTCCCCATCTCTTGAATATCTGGGATCTAAGTTGGCCCGAAAGCGAAAAAATGTCTATACAAACCCTGCAACTCACCATAACTTCACTATTGCGTTATGACAGCGAGCAAGCATCATATTCATAAGCGATATACTTGTGAACCGTTACAGTTAAGGTTTTGAGCAGATCTGGAACTTTGACCCATCTACACCCACCGTTACCCACGAAAATGCACTATCCTGCGAAATCAGCATGATATTCATGTTCAGCGCGCTAAATGACCATCTAGACGAAGTTTAAAGCAAATCTATGTTTTCGACCCCATGCCATATAACCACACAACTCTATGAAAAGGTCTCATATGCAGAGAGAGATGATATTCGTAATTAGCATGTCGAATAAGCCAAATGGACCGAACTCCAGCCGAATTCATGATTTTGACTTCCTCCGTACACCTATCGTAACCACACGGGAAGACGTTCTGCGGAGAAAGTCTGATATCTGTGATCAGCATGTGAAGGGGCCGGGCATACTTCACGCGATTTCAGTCGCGACGCGATTTGGCAGAAGTCTTCGGATCCAACATTAGCAAACTGCACATGCATAGTGTGTATAACTTACGTAAACTGATGAAATGCCCTATCTTCTGTACATTTATAATGTGCTTACAATGAGTTATGGACACCTGAAATATTGCCAAACCGCGTCGCGATTGAAATCGCTTGAAGTATGCCCGACCCTTGAGATAAACCTTATACACGAAGTTTGAGCAAGCTCTACCACAAAAAAATTTTGGGGCCCGGATAGCCGCATAGCGCCAAAATAATATTGTATTCGGAATCCCCGTGCTGGATTACCCCCATGTGCCAAATCCCAGCTCCGTAGCTCAAACTTTCCAAAAAATCGATAAAATCGATAAAAATAGTGGACGATTTCAAAAACTAACATTGTAATCATAATCCCCATTCTCGATTACCCCACTGTGCAAACTCCCAGCCCCGTAGCTCAAGCTTTGCGAAAAAATCGATAAAATCGATAAAAGTAATCAATAATCCTGAAAACTAATATTGTGTTCGGAATCCCCATACTCGATTACTCCCCCGTGCCAACTCCCAGCCCCGTAGCTCAAGCTTTGCGAAAAAATCGATAAAATCGATAAAAGTAATCAATAATCCTGAAAACTAATATTGTGTTCGGAATCCCCATGCTCGATTACTCCCCCGTGCCAACTCCCAGCCCGTAGGCGAACCCTGCAAAAAATCGATAAAAATCGATAAAATCGATATCGATCGATGACGAAAAGTAGCCGATGACACCCGCCGGGGCCCGAAGTGTATGTGTGCCAAGTTTGGTATCGGTTCAGAAATGGAATTTTCTATTCGGAACATACGTACAGACAGACATACAGATAGACAGACAAACAAACAAACATCCAGCTTTGTATATAAGATTTGCGATCTCTGAATCATACGAATGCAAATATTCAAATATTGGCAAACTATCAAATTTGATTATTCGTACAATGGTAATTGGGCATAGTCGAATATTCAATATTCGAGTAATTAAATATTCGGCTATTCGTATGACTCGAGTAACTCGGAGGTCAAGGGGTCCTTCCCTGTTGCAGATTTCTGCGGCAGGAGTTAACGGCTATAGCAAATTTACGATTCAAAGTAGAGATAATCAAATTGTGTTTTGAAGAATTCTCCATGAGCGTAAACAAGTGAAGAACGGTGACTGATTGATAGCAACCATACAATTGCATCATAAGCGTCTTTGCATATCCACTCACCTACAATACTCAATAAAAAAGAGGAATGTAGAGTTCCTCCCATTAGGTGCCAAATGCCTATTCAATTGGAAACCGTGTCCCAAGTGAGAAGGCGCCAAAATTCTTCACTGCTTCAAATTCTTCCGTTTTCTATGCAATACTTCACATTCTCTTGGCACAAACCGCTAGGAGTGCAGCACAATTGAGGTGTCGTTCAATTAATCTCATATTTTCAGAAACCATGTTCATCCTGCCTCGTTACAATCACACATCACCATTGCGTAAAGGTATGTCAAATGAAAGGCATTGAAGATGTTACTCTGACATTTCATGCGCAACTCTATACAGCGAATCTACAGTCCAGTGTTGATACAAATCCTTGTGATATCTCAGGCAGAGAAGTGGAATACGAAACAATAGAAGCAGAGCCAGAATGCACAAGCAACTAATCCGTTTATTTATTCAATTATTTATTTGACAAATATACACATAGTGGAAAGTTAAAGACAAAGAGCAGTAATCATCCTTTTTGTTCTTCGATCGTTCTCCTTCTTCGAACGATGAGTAATACCTTTGTCGAGTTACCGTCGTTCCCATCCGCGAAGGCACGTGACGAAATATTATACTAGATAGGAGCTCAGCTGGCCCTTTTTGAGAAGGACGAATCCGCCACTGACCTTGGGCAGCGGGGAGGGTGGAACTCGTGGCAAAGGGCTCATCCTTCGTTAGTATCCTCGGACGGACCACTACGAAAAAGCGACCTAAATTTTGTCAGAGTGGAAAATGCGTTAGGAAGAATGGAAAAGTCTTGAGTGCGAGGTATTGAGCAAAATATGCGAAAATTTGAAAATTTAGAATGACCAGCCAAAAATTGTTCAACCAGTCCTCAAAAATCATCACGTAAGTTAACCGAAAAATCATCGAAAAACTCGATCAAAAATGAGAAGACTGAGGAAGTTCGCCGCCTCACAGAGGATTTCCTTGTGTTTTCGTCTTGGAACCTAGGCATTTTTGATTATATGTTGATGTTCTGTTTCTATGCCGCACAGGATGGTGTGGTGGATCCTTTTAGTGACCTAGCGTTTCGAACGCTCGTCTTTGTCGGGGATCTAAAAGGGAAGTAGGTCACGTGTCTGTCCATTATGCCGGCAAACATCTCTCGTGAATCTGCTCCGCTTGACACATCAAACGAGGGCAAACAACTTCCATTTTACCGTAGAGCTAGTAATCCGTTGAATTTGTGTGACGGACAGAGCCGCGCAGTGTGATGAGTCCTGCTACACAAAGTGTGCGGTATCCTGAAAATTGGTCGTGGTATACTTTTACAATCTGAGTGAACAGCAGAAATGAATATCTGACGATAACAAGTGATCTACCACGTTTCCTGTAGTTGTGTGAGCTCAATGCCGCACATATAATCAGGACTCAATGCACAACACAATGACATTCGTTACCATTCTAGTGCGGATTTTACCGTAGAACGATGGTTGGTTTTTCCTTGTTCCTAGTGCCCAGTACCTTGTGTCTGGAACTTCAAGCGAATTAGAATCCATTAAATGTTTGCATAGCAGAAACTCATACATAAACTGCAATCCCTTTCAAACCTTCGACGAAGGCGAGTTGTTCGAAAGCGGTTAACAAAGGATCCACCTTACCAAACTGCGCGGCAACAATTTAATAAGTCACTTTGATTCGAAAAACATTTCTGTTCAAACACATAATCCCTTTTTTTAAGTAAATATCCGGCAAATTGAGCACTTGGACTACTCATGCGAAGACTGATAGACAATTTTGACCGAACTGTTCGGCTGCACACAGCTTTATTCGTGGTCGAGGCATTTAACCATAAGCTTTTGCCTCCAGTGCTCTTTTTGAAAAAGCAATTAATCCACCTGTCGGTACTAAGAAGAAACTCCTAATGTAATTTCTTAGCTCAATAATGTTTGCTCAGGCAATGGTCCACCTTAAAGACAGTGGCTCAACCTGAAGTTTTTTTGTTTCTTGGGGTATTTCGACGCGCTGATTTCGAAAATACATTTCAAAGAGCACGAAAATGCCGAAAACCAGCATTTTATTAGGGTTCTCGTTTTGAATTTGGACGAGTGAACCACTCCGCCATGGTTTGAGGTTAGATTCGTTGCGGAACCCTCATGTATAGAGCATTGCGGCATGCCGCCTCTGACGGTGGGATGAGGACTGTAAGCTCGTCCGAGCGCGTGTAAGAATGGCTTGCGTGCAAGGTTTAGGGGCAGTTTTCTCGGCAGTGACAGTATGTAGTGCGCTCGGACCTGCTCTGTTCTAATGTTTGGGATGCAAGCAACTTTCCGTATCAAAATTTTGAGATGTCTGGTTTTGCCGAGCCAGTGCCTTAAGAAGCGTCCCGGTAAAATTCGCTCTCCGGTTTCTCACCTCTTCGGAACCTTCTCGTTATGCTCAAGCCATACCTGAGCTTTCAGCGTTTAAAAATGGCAAAAATGAACTTTTTCGAAGCTCTCCGTGTCTGCATTCGCTCCAAATTACGTGTAAGAAGTGGGCGGAGTCCGGAAGTGGGCGAGGTCCGGAAGACTTTCGGACCGAGTTTCGGGCTTTCCAGAAGCCCTTTTTCGTTCCAGACTTTACTGATAGGTTAGCTGGAGATACCATTGCAACAATGTAAAATCCCTGTACCCATCATTGTGACGGGACGCTGCCTTCAAGGTTTTTTAATAGGACATCATTACTTCACATATAAAGAAGAAAAACTCACAAGTTGGTGATCAAAAGTTAAGCTGACAATCCAAAGAATACATATAGGGTGCGGCATGGAAAGCTCACTTCAAATATGTCTTTCGTATCTAATGAACGCCTCTGTGAACGTTGTAAGCTTATATTGCAGTTAAAACGTGTGCACAAAGTGCAAACTTGGCCATACAGAGCCATGTTTGGCCTGATGCTGGGTCAAAACATGCAAAGCAGCCCATACTTGGAGGTGAGCTAAAAAGGCGATATTGGGTCTTGTCGGTAACTCAGCGCGATTTTCTTGCAGCGAAAAGAACAAAAGACAGATTTGGAGTCAGCGTTTTCATATTCATCTACTGGCATGCTGCTTGTCTGGCTTGACCAGTTTGATTTCTAGCCATCCCTTCTCGATAACTTTTTCTACTTGTATATTCCAACATTCACTTTAAAAGCAGCATCCAGACTTGTTCAAAGGCTACTGCATGAGTGAGGCGCAGAAACAGTATTACTTGAGCGGGCGGGAATGCGACGCGTGCGTATCTTCACAATTCTGCGCCTCGTGCGCTTTGTGGCTAATCTAGCCGCATTTGCGCCCGAAGATATTGCGCCTTCGTCATACAGCATATGTGCTTGGACTTCCTATGCGAACACGGTTGGCAGGCTTAAATCGAGCAACTACCCAAACCGCAACATACAAACTCGGTCGGAAAAACTCAACATTGAACTTTTGCTCAGTGCCTACTTTTTTCGGGCGGGTCAGCTAGGGTCTTCATGAAATTACGGTATTGAGTGAGAGTTCAAATTTGAATTACTCAATCACACTGTATTATATGAGCGACAAATTAGGCTCTCCCAACTAATGACTATATGAGAACCCATGTCTCCGTATCTAGACGTTGCTTTCAGAGTATCTGTATTTTCTCGACCCTAAATGAAAGTTCTGCAGTCATTCTGCAAAATTTATCGCTTTACTAGAGCAGTAAAATGCAAGCCACACCATCGTTCGTTTTCTCTAGACAGATCACTAGACAAAAACAAAGCGTTCAACTGTGCACCCTAGACTGTCAACGATCTTAGGAACTGCCGTAGCTCTAACACTTGTCTCTTCCCATGTAATCAGCAACAATGTCAAGATAGCGTGATTTTCAGGTGAATGCTGGTCGCGGAGCGAAGTGCAGCTCGTTGGACTTACAGCGATACTGTTTGTTATGACTGTGGCGTTCTTTGGCATCTCCATTTTGAATTGGTACGCTCACATGAAGCATCAGCAGAACTCTATGCGAAATCATCACCACACAGGTAGACGTAGACAGTATGTCTTTGATACCAACTATATTATCTTTTCCTTTCGCTTTGAAAAGCTGAGTCTCTTCTACTCGAAAGAATAGGGGAACCTTTCAAAGCAATTGGTGTAAAGTCTTTATAAATAGTTTAGGTATGGAACACTCAACTACCATACGTAAGCACTGATTCGAGTGAAATGGATTACTTGGCAATCAAATGTAGGAATAGTACTAAACTTGCACAACAGTTCAACGAACAAGATGAAGAACAAGAGCTGGGCTTGTTGTTTGACCGTCAATAACTTTCTTCTTTTGACGACTTCGCTAGCCTTTGATGCAGCCTTCTAAAAAATTGGCTCACCTCAAACGTTGACAAAATTTGTTTTGTTGTCAACAAAAGCAGAGCGCATTAGGAAAATACGACTTCAAAAGCCTCAATCAGGTCTAAAAGCGGCTGCCTTGCTTCTTTCCGTTCATCTCCGCTCGTCAAAGCTGCTCAGACCATCACAGGCTCTCAGCCGGCAGCCACAAAGCCATTGCGAAAACCCACCAAAAGCGCGGTGGCCTCATCGCCTCACTGTCGCTTCCCGCTGAGAACAGTGTCAGAACTGGCAGCAAGCGCGCTGCTATAAAGCCTTCAGCGCGAAGCGAAAGCGGCGGTTTTCGCGGTGGCTTTGCGGCTGCCGGCTGAGAGCCTGTGATTGTCTGAGTGGATCACGAAAGTGGTTATCGATTTTTTTATTTTTGAATCGGCTTTGGCATCGAATTCACGAAGACGCCCCAGCACAGAATTATTAAAGATGAGTTGCCCGGACGCTGCCTATGAGGAACCATTAGAAGGGCTAATCCCACAGAGGAATGACTTGGAAATTTCACAACAACTCAGATAATCGCCGGGGGCAGGCGGTCCGCAAACTCGCGCTTTTCTGCAAGCAGTCAACAGAATTTTGGGGCGTGGCCAAACCTTCAGCTGGCGGCACTTCCTTTACTGTTTAATGTTCTGCCAGCGGGCAGCAACACAGAATTTTCTGCAGGCGCTCGTCATATCATCTCTTTCAGCGAGCGCTGGTCAAATTTTCAGCTGGCGCTCAGACGGTTTTCAAGCAGTTTCGGGCGTACTCCGTGCAAAGGTGAGACTCTACATGGCAGAGGTGTCATCGATGGTTTAATTACTCAAGTTTGAGGTACTTTCTCTCAGCGAAAAGTACCTGGGGGTAACGCGGTCCTCCACAAAGGACCGTGCGGCCTTCGAAAATTTTGCGTATTCTCGCGGAAGTCCGCGAGAATGCGGCCACTGCGCCGCAGCTAATCTATGAAGAAACCGCGATTGTTCCCCAAGCATTCGTCTAAAAATTCGCTAAAATTTTTCCAAATATCTGCAAGCGGACTGCAAGAAATCAGCGAACTATTTTTCCGGTGCCCGACCGCCCATAAATCGCATGGCCGCCTGTCCCCGGCGATTATCTGAGAAGGTGTACCTGATTCGAAATGCTTGGGGCCAAATGAAATGGCTTTTCATTTGCCACGGTTTATTGGTCGAAGGTGTAGGTTATTCTTCTGCCATTAGGTGAAAACGCAACTTGTCCATGGTGACTTTTGCAAAAGACTGACTTGTCTTCGCCTATTGAAAAGACAAAAGGTAAAGTTTGTGCGACGCTTGCTAGTATGATCTTACATGCTAATTACTACTTACTGTTTTCTAAGCACAAACAACGTTTGTGATTTATCCCAGTAAGCGATGTGGATGGCCCGATAATTAATATTCGAGGAGACTTTTGATTTATTTACAGCTTTGTGAAAGGAGTTACCTCGAGTAACTCCTTCCACAAACGGCTCAAATTTTTTGTGGTACATGATAATTACCGATAGCTTTCATTGCTGTAAAATGCTGGGAGGGGCTTCCGATCCTTGCCGCTATGACGAATCAGCTGCCTTTTTTTTCAGAAAACCAAAAACTTCGTTTCGTTATGGTTGAATTGTTGTGAGCAGCGCCCAACATGAGGATAACAAAACCGGAAACCGAAAACTGTTTTGGGAAAAAAACAGAAAGGATGTCGTAAATGAACGTCATGCACTATTCATTCGCACTAAGTACCCCTTTTGAAGTACTACACGACTGACGTGCAAGAACACGATTTTGCTCGTGCGTCACCTTAAAAAATCCAGTTTTTCTCCATTTCATAGTAAATAACTGCTTCATTACAGCGCGCACATAGCGGAGGAGCATAGTGTGGAGTATTGTGGAAAGCTTATATGACTGAATTCTGCGGCAAACTTTTTGCAGAGAATTTCGCACAAGCTTAGAGCGGAAAAATGACTCGTTTGCAATGCAGAGGTAGCGATTTGGTTTAAATTTTGTTGTTTATATGCGCAATAGGGAGTCAGAATAAATTCCTACTAAAATCTTTCCACAATTAGTCTTTGCTACATAGAATTTTTTTGATACGACCGCGTGCATAAGCGCGTATGCACGCCCTGACTCCCATTTAGCATTATCGTGCACCAGTTATCCAACGAAAAAATCTAAGTTACCTTCTATGCAGTGATAATAATGGTGGTGTGACTGTCATATAGAACACAGGACATCGCGATGGCTGCTCAGTAGTTTGAACCGCAAACTTATAAGGAACGCTACCTAACTGAGCTCGGCCTTTTGGCAAGCGACATATGTATTCTGAATCAGCTTTGAACGCTGATTCCAAATATGCTATTCCTAGCTGCCGAGCACCATTCTGAAGCGAGTTATGGGCTTTTTCCCGCGCGTAATTGGCATACTACTGAACAAGGAAAGACTGCTTGTAGATAAAGATCTGCAAGAAAAAGATGTTGGGATATCGACATAAAAATCCAATCTTTTCTTGCTACAAATAAGCTTAACGGAAGTGTATTATCACTTAAGATGATGATGCCGTGATGCCAGTGGGTCGATGAGTATGCCAATTTCGCGCAGAAAAAAGTCCATAACTCGCTTCGGAATGGAGATTGGCAGCTAGAAACAGCATATTTGAAGTTAGCGTTTTGAGCTGATTTAGAATATTTATACCACTTGCCAAAAGGCCGAGCTAACAAGGGAAGCGTATTTAGTCGAATTGGCCTTTCCCCATTAAACCCGTACTGCTTTGAAGAGCATAAGTGGTGATTTCAAATCTGCCAAGTGCCTCTGGACGCCGAGTTATGGGCGTTTTTCAGGTCAAAAAAGTGGACGCAAAACTGAAACAAAATCGCCCAAATTTGCTCAAATGGTCCAGTGTCAAGTATCAAACCGTTTAGGCAATGGATACATTTAATACGCTAATCCTAAACATTGCTTTATCTGAGCGCTAGAAAGATTGTAACAATCGATTTTACCTGGATTGTGCATCCATTTTTTCGTTCCAAAAAACGGTCATAACTCGGCGTCCAGAGGCGCTTGGCAGATTTGGAAGTCAGATTTGGAATCATCGTACAGTAATCTTTAAAGCAATTTGGATCATCTAAAAAGTTCACTTCGACTAAACACGCTTTCCTTGTAAGTTAGGTAGCTTCCCTTGTTAGATATAAATCCATTTTGATGTGTCCAAAGCAGCTTGGTCGTCAAGGTGTTAACTCGAAGCAACGAGACCGACGTTCTTGAAAGGAGAGCGCATTGAACGACTTACACGACTGGCGCAATTAGATGGAAATCGTTTATTTCGAAAGCAGCAAAGGCAAAGTCGTTTTTAGGTGTTCAACCCTTTTAGCGAGCCCTGTTTTTGAGCATAACCTCTTAAGGCTTTGTAAGACTGTTTCAATCGAAGTTTTGTTGTCCGAGTTCGACCGTCGCTCAATCTCGGCATTGATTGCTTATCGAGAATGCTTGAGCTGCACACCGAAATTAATAACTTCTTTATTGACTGACATTTCGGCTATATCGCCTTCTTGAGAGTCTGAAATTGTCAAGTGCATAGGTGATCTATCCTGTCAAAAACGCATCAAGACTCAGAAAAGACGTTCATTGGGTCTGCTAAGAGCTGCGAAGGTAAATGTAGAATCAAACTAGTGCTTACCTAAACAGCTGTTGACTACTTCGTCAGCAAATCGTATACCATTTACTAAACTTCGATATCTTTTTATGGTAACCAGTGACCTAACACTTGACCTCAAAAGCCACAAAGGCTCTGATTAGCGGCCAACTCATCAGTGATGGCTATGCACTCATTTCTTCTATTCAAATTTGGAATTTTGTCGGCATTCAAGACGCTCTCAATGTCTTGCGCGCCAGAATTTCGGATTTGCGTGCTAAGATCGTGACCTCTACAGTTATGTCTGCGTCATTATGGAAGTGCCTGCGGTGCATGTTCAGTTGAGTTGCCGTATTCGTAAGTTTTGTTGAACATCGAAGAATGCTTACAATAACGTGGCGAAAACTTGCATTGGGCTTTTTACGTATTTAAAATCCAACTCGTTTTGTGAAGCTGGACCAATTGAACAACTCCATGTATGTTCAGATAGACGCATCAAATACCAAGTAATGATTTTTGATGCGAAAATTCTAGAACGAGGTTTATCAGAGTGGTTCTCCGTTATCCAAACAAATTTGCAATCACATACCTTTCTTGCTTCCTCATGTCAAGTGAATATGAAAACACAAAGGAAAATTCAGTCTAGTGCCAAGCATCGAAAAATATAACACTGCTAGCTGGCTTACCCGGCTTCGCCCGGCCCTGTCAAAACACTGTAATAAAGGTCTCATCCCTATCCCTGTACAGCCTTTCCCTGTGCCCACTTCTACACTTCATTTCCCGTTCCTTGTGTTGTTTTCGAAATCAACATGCCCACTTACCCCCCTGTGCCAACTCCCAGCCCTTCAGCTAAAAATTTTTTAAAAATCGATAAAATTGATAAAAGTAATAGGTACTACCAAAAACTAATATTGTGTTCGTAATCAGCATGCTCGATTACCCCTCTGTGCCAACTCCCAGCCCCGTAGCTCAGACTTTTCAAAAAATTGATAAAAATCGATGAAGTCGATGTCGATCGATGACGAAAAGTAGCCTATGACACCCGCCGTGGCCCGAAGTGTATGTGTAAAAAGAGGGTTTCTTTTTCTTCGCCTAGACTAGGACTTCTGTTTTACTTGCTCGTTTGCCACGCGGACTATAAGCTGTGGTTGGAAACGGGCTCACAAATAGGTTTAATGTTCAAATCTTCACATACAGTCTTCTGTCTTCCTGCTCACACTCCGAAGTTCTTCTTCTTCCTTCTGCGTGAGACTTGAACTTGAACTTGAACTTGATCTTGAGGTCCTTACGGAACTTGTCACTTGAGGAAGCATGATCTTACGGTGGTGTGAGCTCTATTTATACAGAAAATATCAGATAGAAGTTGAAACTCGAAATATAATTCAAGCGAAAAGAAACATAGATGTATGATAAACGTTACAAGAAACAAAACAACGCATACTAGAGAGTACGATTACAAAGAATACAAATCAGTTCAAATACATGAACAAATACTTGATACAATTGTTGAACAATCGACAAATATATCTAAATTATATACATTGCTTATGGATCACTTGGTCGTCCTTGACGACAAATACTGCTTTTGCACCTTCGTCATGCAATAGCCTTCAGTATAGAGTACAAATACCTCACTAAAAGATGGCAGTGTAAAAGAAAGCAAGATTAATATCTTTTTACTTTGTATTTTATTCCTTACCACAAAAGTACCACATCGTTGTGTTAGATCCTAGCATTGTGATGAACCCATCATCTTTACTCATTATTTGATTCACGAAAATTTTGATGACTTGACGGTGTAAATTTGGAATTTTTGACTGCCTGCTCTAGCAAATGGGATTTTTCGTATAGAAATTCTCCCAAGCTGATAAGCCCAGGGGTGTGACACAAGTGTAGACCAGAGCCCTGGCACTGCTTTGGTATCAATAATCCAACTCTTCAAATCCCCTATGTAGAAGTGAATTGCCATATACAAATCACGAACATTTCAGTCCTGCACATCTTCACGCCAACGTTTTCAAGGCAGCACTCAGCTGCTTCCGTAAATAAAGTCCGCTGAAGTCTACATCTTTTATGGGTATTCAATGTATGTAATCAAGTTGAATCTTTAGTGTTATTAATTTAGATTCTCCATTACATTTTACTGCCTTAACTCGGCTTGCCCTTCGCTTAGATTTGAGTGTCTGTTTGATTTGTCCATTCTAATTGAAAATAGTTGATAAATGATTTATAGTTCTTTTTATTGAGCATATTCGATCGTTGAAATTTAAATTACTCCAGTTCGCGCCTGCGAGACTGATTACCAATTTACTGCTCTAACCCTCTTACTCCGTTACAGCCTACCGTCTCCGATTAAGAACTTTGTTAACCCACTGGCTTCAAGGCACTTTGAATCATAGATGACTCGTTCCCTCCTTTTAGCACAAAAACCTGATTCGTGACAAAAACACTGCAGTAAATAAATTGAAAGTCATGTCCCGCATAGATTTTTTTATTGTATACTACAAGCGAGACGAAGTCTGTGTAGACTAGCTCTCAGTGAAAAGAGTAGGGCAATTTTGGCATGGCAAGTAAATTTCTTGCTTTCTTGCCATTTCTTGCTTTCTTTCCGCTGTTGTAACAGTATCTACTCTTCTGTAGAAATGTGAGATGCAACCATCCTTTAGATCCAAAGCATTGTTAGTCAAAGCTGTAAGCTTGCAAAATAGCTTCAAAGTGTAAATAAACGTAAGAGTAAAAACACCTTATTTATTCTATCATGGTCCTGCAGCGGTCTAGTTTGAAGAGTAATACTAGGGAGTCAACGCATCAATGCACTGTTAAAATCTGTTCTTCAAGAGTTAGACACCTCATAAAATTTTGATATTGATTGTAATGTTCCCGTACGTGCACAGGAAAGGGAAATCGTGTGAATACGAGCGCACGTGGCTGACTAAACAGTTTTTTTTGTTCCGCATAGTTGTGGCCAACACTCAGCTCCGGTTCTGTAGTTATCGTCTACCGGTACCATTTACTAGTTTTTCTCAGCGTTCCGTGCCAGCCATTCGCACTAACAAGCATTGCACCGTCGAACTCTTCAAAATTTTCAAAGTGTAACGCAACATGAAAGCGGTAATCAATTTGTCATCGTTATCCACTGTCTGAATTGAAATCAGTGTTCACTGACGTAGAAGGCGTTAGTAGACCACAAATTGTTCTCTGCTGCCTTTCTGCACCGATTAGGGCTAAGAAACAGCCAAGTGTTACACTTTCATGAGAACTATCAAGACAAAGTAGTGTTCATGTCACATGAAAATTTTGTGACTATGACGGCCAAGTGTTCCAAAAAAACGGTCTTATTGCATATTAGTGCGTCTGGCTTACTTTACTTCCTAGCCATTAACAGTAACTAAGCATTACACATGATGATGAAGAAAGTATCTTATCTTGCGTAGTCATAAAATTGTGAGTCAGGAGGACTTTTATTACGACGCTGTACTATTCCATAAATAGTGAGAAGAGAACACTGATTGTCGTCATTTGATTCCCATAAAAGTTAAAAAGTAACTCTACGTCATGCTGGTTTTTCTAAATACTGTTTTTAGCTCTGTTACTGTTCCAAGTCAGTGAAGTCATTTTCTTTGCTAGGATGAAGGAGGGAAATATGAACGGTGAAGAGTTGACATGTTCAGGCGCTTTTACATCATTCACCAGTTTTTTTAGGTTTCTGTCATTAAGACGGTCTCTTGTGACTCTGGAATTCCTAATCGTTGATTTTTTTTCGGAAAAAATAGAAAGGTTTGTTTATATTGAAGTATTAGGAAGATAGGTGTCAAGGTTGACCAAATTTATGCTATAGTCGTTGGGTTTCATCATAATTTTCTCGTTGGAAAAGGGCACCCTTCAAATCATTGTTCGAAATGAATAACACTTTTATAGTGCATACTAAAGCATAAGCGGTTATCACTATCGCAATCAGTTGTGTGACTTTGAATGTGAAATCCACACAGTTTAACGGAACTGCAGACAACGACTCAAGTCTATAACAGTCCTTTGAAATTCTCACATAAGACACCTGAGCGCTGCAATCAGAAGACGCTATAAACAAGGACAGTTCCTGTGACTCCAATCATTCTACTTCACAGTTTTTCTCCTTACACTAATCATATGGAATCAAAGGCATGTAAATATTGTCTACAATGACGGTTGTCTTTATCACACCGCCTGATCACAATATCACAACGTTTTTTCTTCTTTAGCAATAAAATTGTTTATCTATGCTCAACGTAATGATCAGGTAGTAGCTACTTATTTGATTTGCCGTCTCACTGTATAGCTATGCTGAGATCACCTTTTTTCGATCATTTAGAAGTTTATGTGTTTTTATTGCAATTCACTTTCCTGTTCCTCTTGATGCTTTCCGCAGTGTTGACGTGTTATCCAAAGTCAAAGGAAAAGATCTGTGCAAGTGACCGAGGCTTGCGCTGACCGCGCTTGTAGATGTGCAAGAATATGAAACGAGCTACCGCGCACGTTGTCATTTTATTGAAATCTTTTTCTTGTGGACAGTATCGAAGCAAATGAATTTACCATTGCGTTTATGCACTGTAAAAGGCAGAAGCTCGCGACACCAAAATTTTGTTACGTACCAGTAAAATTCTGGTTTCCGTTTCCTCCTTTCATCCACATTCAGTCCTCTTTCGTAAATTTCAATCACATTTTTGATTGTAGTGCAGCATTATGAGACTTCTGCTTGATAAATATCAGTGAGTTAATTGTTGTTATATGCTATTTCACGAAAATGTGAACTTTAAGAAAGCTGTATGATTATTGACACCACGTGCAACACGAGCATTATTTTTCAATAAGACTTTTAATTTCAACCGTCTCAACCATTTGTAACCCTCCACTTTGCTGGTCACTTTTCATGGCAGAAAAAGCTAAACAACTAAGACCAGTGCACTATTAAGCCGTTTTATCTAATTCCAACTATTTTTAGCGAATGAAGTGATAAGAACCATGACCAAATCATGACGTGTCTGTTACAAATAGTACTGGCACCAAGGTCAATTCACATAAAACAGGTTCTCTCGTTGTTAGTGCGAGTCAAGCTAACTTTCTGTTCCCACTGTAGCCAATGTTTTTGTAAATAGATGATTAGCAGCGCAAGTCCCCTCATCAAAAAAAAATTAGAATATTCACTTTTTGCTGGTCAAGAAAGTCTCATTGTTTTCAACATTTCTATCTTATTGCTACCCAATGATATCATTGTTATTCTGTCTCCTGTACACAATCGATAAGCATTATAATTGTATGCATTTCCATTCGTGAGAGATTGTACTACCTTATCAAAATTAGGAAGACTACTGTATGTTGAAACGCACCATTGAGAGTCATGTAGCTGCAGACATGTTCGAGAATCGTTGTTACAATCGCTTACTATGGTAACAAGCCGAATCATGCAGAACTACTACGAATAGACAAACCCATTTTTCATAAACTTCTTGCATTTGTTCTTGCTCCAGCAAAATTAGTTGATTGCCTTGTGCTTGATTCGTTAGTGTGTACATGTTTGAATCTATTGGCGAAACCACAAGTGCTTTCATTGTTTCATTGTTGTGCAATTCTATGTTTACCTGTTTATCTCCATTTTGTACTGTACTAGGTCGTCTGATAAGTTATTTTCAATTTTGAATTTTTGCCGCAATAGAGAAAGCCGTTGCTATTACACACTTCTCAATTCTTATTAAGATGCATGGCATCGTTCGATAGAGCAAAGCAAACTCCATAAGTTGGCGTGTAGTGTGCTCGCACCAGCTTCAGCACATCACGAGTTAGAAGCCGAAATCTGAGAACCTTCGGATGCGCAAAAAGTGAGATTTTCATTTCTTTGTCTCAGCAGACTCCAATCTTGCTCAAGCACATACACTCCACATAAGGCATTCATACAAGCCGTTGCTGTGCTTGTTTCTGTGCTAAAAATCGAGAATATTGAAATTTTCAGGCTTCCAAGTAGGCAGTGCTGCACTGTTTCCTAGGTAAATGTATACTACAGAATATTTGTAAATTTTCAGCTTTTTGGAAGCGTTGGGCTCTTAAGAAATACCGAATTCATCTTTTTCGGCAGTTTTTTTCTGTTAAAATCAACACTTTCTTGGTCAACTTGAAGAAAGGTGAAAGTCTGTGAATGCACTTCTAAATGCTTCTGTTATACATTTACTTAGGTAGAAGCAGCGCGGCATTTTTTCAAGAGCTTGAAAATTTTAGTTTTCTCGGTCTCTAGCACGAAAAAGCGTAGCAACGGCATATACAAGGTGTCCTAAAAATGTAAAAACACTGTTTGATCGTTAATCCCTTGCTTTCATGTCTTTCGCCGAGCTTGAGGCACCATTCTCTAAAGCGAGGTGCAGCTTAAATCTGCAGTATGGAGCAGATTAACAATCGCTCATCGTTACAGTAAGATTACAGTAGGAACTTCCAGCATGTGGAACCATTGTGAAATATGCCATTTAGAATTTTTTTCAAAAAAATCTGAAAATTGCGTGCTAGGGTTTTCGCGCACGCTGAGTTGACTACACAACTTTCTACGAGTGTTTTCAGCTTAATTAACAATGTAATCACATTTCTGACAAATGCTTGGAATTGCTTATTACGTTTACTTGGGATGACTTTGAAAGAAGCATCACAGTAAAGTGCAAATTACTTATTCGAAAACAGCGGCTTCCGTTACCAGTATGAGAGTTTTTGGCTTGTTTGATTTTGTTCTGATGAAGAATATGGTCTGCATCAGCCTACAAACCTTGTCGAAGTTCTTACGGCCATCTTACAGTAACGAAGAGCAATCGATTCGCTCCATACTGCAGGTCTAAATTGAACCTCGCTCTACAGAATGGTGCCTCAAGCTCGGCGAAAAAATGAAAGCAAATCAGTTAACGAGTTAATGAGTCAACGATCAAACGTTCATATTTTTTGGGACATCTGTTTAAATGCCTTATGTGGGGTGTACATGGAAGAGTGGGATCTGATAAGTCTTCTTGGACAAAGATATAAAAAAATTTTGATTGTTTCGGGCATTTGAAAGTTTTCAGATTTTGGTTTTTGACTCGTGATGTGCTGAAGCTAGTGCAGACACTTATATGCCGGAGTTCTTAAAAAGCTTGCTTTGCTCCATCCAAGCTCTATCTATTCTGCACTGTGATCAGGTCTGATAATTGTGTGACTTATTACTGTAAAACTAAAATTGAAAGAACTTATGAGACAACTTGTAATTGTGAGTCAAAATGGAGTAGAAAATCTACTCCTGGCTGAAGCCTAGGCGCTCGCACAATTTCCCAGTTTCATAATTTCTAAATGCTCTGCGCGCACTTAAGCATGATAGATCTTGCTTTGAAGGTTATTTTAAAAAATGGCTGGCATACCCGGCTCCGCCTGGCCCTGTCAATACATTATATTCCTGTCCCTGTCCCAATTCCCGCCAAATCTCCTTCCCCACTATATTTCGTGGTCAGATTGCTCACTCCCCCCCCCCCCCCCGATGCCAACTCCGAGCCTCCTTTGTCAAACTTTGCAAAAAAAATCGATAAAACTGATAAAAGTAATCGATAATTGCAAAAACTATCATATTATTTGCAATCAGCATGCTCACAAACCCCCTTCCCCTGGGCCAACTCCCAACCCCGTAGCTCCAATCTGGCAAAAAATCGGTAAATATTGATAAAATCGATACCGATAGATAGCAAACGTAGCCTATGACACCCGCCCTGCCCCGAATAGTATGTGTGCTAAGTTTGGTCCGCATCGGTTCCAAAAATTTCTATTCGGAACATACGTACAAACAGTCGCACACATACATACATAGACAAACAAATATTCAGCTTTACATATAAGATTAGTTCATCTAAGGATTATGTTCATTGCACCTAATTAATTGTAAAGAACGTCATTGGCTTATGCAATCTATGCATTCCGAAAGGTGACTGTAAAACTAAAATGGTTTCGTTGTCGCTGTGAACCCAACTCGACATTGTAATGTAAAAAAAAGCTTTAAACATTATGCGTAATTTTCGCGACCACTTCCACAAAAATCGTCCTTTGTATGCTGCAGTAGAGGCGTATAACAAAATCTAAATAAATAGTTCGCTCATATTATTTGATATCAGCTGTCATTTCCAAAAAACAGCGTTGCTTCCACGACATTATATTTACTGTTTGTTTTCATAATGTTTCTTAGTAATAGACTATGGTTAGTCTCTGTTTTTTTTTTCGTAGCGCAGCAGAGCAAATGCGAAAAAAACGCTATTCAAAGTTAGGAAAAAACGCTATCAAAATCTATTCATATTAAGGATAAACATGCGTAGTACATTTACACCTTTAAGGCGACATTTTTTTTTGCAATTATTCTTACAAAGGAAGGATACGTGGCAGGGCTCAGCGCAAAGTGGCATTTGGGAATCTTAAAAACGAAGTCAACTTTGACACTGCGAAAAGTTACGAATAACCTTTTGTGGAACTGTGACAGTACGGCTTATAATCTGCAGCGAACGATGAGTGGATAAAACTGAAAAAAAGCGGAAACTTTGGGATAAAACAACAGAAGGCTGAATAGAAGAAAGTTTTTTTATACCGTTAAGTGCGTAGGAAAGCAGTGGGATCGAAACTTGGGCTAAAGTGAGATCCATAGATAGAGCTCAAACTGAAGAACAGATTTATGTAAAAATTTTCGAAAAGTATTGTGAAGAAGTGGGTAAATCATGACCTTGTCCTCGCGCAACCTCAGGGTGCTCCCAAGATGCGCGGGAGCAACCTAAATTAGAAAAACACTTACAACTTCCTTCATCCACATAATTTTTTCCATAATTATTCATACTTATCTTTTCATTGCCGTCGCTGAGCTATATACCAAATTTGGTGATTTACTATTGCTTGGTCATTGTGAACAAACTTGTTTACCTTTCTTGCATAAAGGTCATGCTTTAACGCGTTGGGAATTGGGTGAACACAAGTTGGTCACTTTTTGTTCGTAACAAGTTGATTGACCTGTTCGTGGTTGAATGACGTTGAAGCCTCACATTTGGGCTTACTGTATGTAAGAATTGTGCTTCCTATCCTATCCAATCCGAAATCCCCCCCTTCCCCGAGAGCTTTACGATTACCTTTTTGCTTCTCCCCAAGAAAACGATTTTCAGCATGTAAAGGCGCCACCTCTGCTGAGCCCTGATACGTGGTCGAAATGCAGTTCTATACGAAATGTGTACTTTCTTGTAGAGCATGAAACGCTGATTCCAAATCTGCTTTCGGTATCTGCAAAGCCCCTCTGAGAGGGGAGCTATGAGAGTTTTTGGAGGCAAAAATTCGAAGTCTTGGTTAAGGTGAAAACAAGTGTTGAGGTTCTTCCGAAGCTTGTATAGAGTAACGCCAAGCTCAAACCTATTAGAGTGAAGGTTTTAGCTGTACGAAATGCCCTGGCAGTAATCATGATTCCCTCCAATTTACAGACTACAGTCCTGAATAATTTTATTGTGGCTGCTTCTCCAAATTTTTGAGTCACATAACTCGCCTCTCAGAGGGGCTTTGCAGATACCGAAAGTAGATTCGAAATCCGCGTTCCATGCTTCATTTGACAGTACACATTTCCTATAGAAAAGACACTTCGACCAAGTATTCTTCCCTTGTCAGTAGCTGAGTTTTTTAGATCAAAGCACCAAATCTTTTGAATAAGATAGGATACTAGTAGTCGCAAATCCTTAGTAAAACACTAATGTTATTCGTTGAGAGTGGTCAACGATATTGAAGAATAATTTTAACATTCACGATAGCTTGCTCAATTCCTCCAAACTTTGCTTGTTTGCAGATGATCTAATTTGTTTGACGCGTCTCTTATCTTACTGTAACTATCCTCTCGCACTCAATTGCATTCGGACAGCAACAAAGAAAGCTTATGAATGGTTTTCAGTTATCATATCATCGTTATCATAACCTTGTTACTTTTTTAAATTTTTTATGTTGATCGCTTCACTGTTTGACTGTCATGATGGCAACAAGTCTCACTTTCCATAATTTTTCTAAACTTCGACTCGTTTGCTTTTTCAAAGTACTTCCCCCTTTCTTGAAATCTAAACTTTGCTTTATAGATGTCAATTCAGTTCGTGTTGTTCCACAATTTTACGAAGGACGACGACGCCATAAAGTTTGCCAATGAGAATGTTAGTATGCATGGTGAGCCATATAGCAAATTTAGCTTGTAAATTACCAATGCATTATCGATAAAAGGAAACAGAGTCCTGTGGGAAAAGCTCAGATCGTTGCATTTTCAGCTCACTGGTCACGTGACGAAGTGCAGATTTTTGTATTAGCTGGTTTATTAGTATTCATTGTTTTGGGATTCATTATAGTAGCAGCAGTCGATTGTATGAAGCAGATTTATGAGAATTGTTTCAAACGGCAAGAAGACGTGGATGAGTGGAAAGGTATGCTTTGTTTCTGCGGTCTTTTTTCGAAAAGCATCCGCATAAGTCTTAAAGTAACATATCTTCATATTTTAGCCCCTCCGCTTTCAATGTTGGCTCCACCTCCGTACTCATCAACTCAGTCTTTAGCCACGATAGCCTAGTCATGAGGTCTTTTAATAGTGGTAGAAGTTTCGACTTACCTTTCTTGACTGTGGCTAATGATGAAGGAATATTCGGGAGAATCTTGCGTTACGACACTTCCATTACTTGGAACGCTCATTGTACATATGCTGTAATAATGTAATTTTCGTTGCTCATTCTGTCATATCATTGAACATGTACATCGCATTCTGAATGTACTAATGAATATTTTATTGATAATCTTGTCAATAAAGTCGCTGTAACTATACTGGAGAGATAGCGCAGGCCGATGCAGACGTGGTCAGCGGAGTGCCAATTTGAATTTACTGAATCGATAGATATGTGTAAGTTCACATCATACACATTTGCCGTCGGAAATAATGCACTTTATTACGAATCAGGTTCTCTCAATTTATCAAAGGGGTGAAGCTGATGGACTGTCGATAATTTTTACATGCAAATTTACTTTATTTAATTATTTATATACAGAGTGTCCCAAAAATAAGCACACACTTTTCAATCGTTAATATCTCTCTTCTCATTGTGTCTTTTTCCGCCATTCGTATACCATTCTGTAGGGAAGGCTTCAACATAAATTCGCAGTATCGAGCGAATCACCGTTCTCTCTTCATTACTGTAGGATTAGTAGGAACTTCGACAAGGATTTTAGGCCATTGGAAGCCATATTCTGCCTCGGCACAAAACCAAACAAGCTAAAAACTCTTATACTATGGTAATGGAAGCCGCTGATTTTGAATATGAAGTTTCCACTTTTACTGTGATGCTTCTTTCCAAAGTTATTCCAGGTAAACCGTAATGACCAAATTTCCAGTATTTGTCGGAAATGTGATTACACCGTCAGAAGCTGAAAACACTTGAGAAAGTTGTGTAGTGGAATCATGAAAGCGTGAAAACTGTAGTTCACGATTTTTCAGATTTTTTGAAAGAAAATTTTGTCAGATGCATATTTCACAATGGTTATACGTGCTGGAATTTCTTACCATAATCCTACAGTAACGAAGAGCGATTGGTGAATCGATCGATACTGTGAATCTAAGTTGAAGTCTCCTCTACAGAATGGTAATGACTGGCAAAAATAGACCCATTGGGTAGAGAGATATTGGTGATTGAAAAGTATGTACTTACTTTTGGGACACCCTGTATGTTAAGTTAGCCCTTGAATTCGTGCCCATTTTTAGACCTATTCAATTAGGTTGATGCAAAAGAAATGGCGGATTTTCCAAGCCTTTCTTCCAGGCAACTTTTTTCCATCAATACTTCTTGTTTACAACAGATGTAGTATACCATCGCGAAGCTATTTTCATGCTCTATCTAACGGTGCTTGAAGCGGACCCTCATCTTCATGTGTTATAAAGTTACTGAGCTTCAAATAATCGCATCCAAATTCAGAATTTTATTGCATTCACTTTTCCGGTCAGAAATCAAGCGCATATCAATCATATTTCTTCGAAAATTTAGCTTTTGTATATAATAGAAATTGTCTACATTATGCATGCTCAGTTGCATTCTTTGAAGTTATCCAGACAGATATCGGCGCCTAAACATGGGTAGCTGTTGCGGTCATTTTATGACCCATAATTTTCTTCTGAGAAAGTCACTCGCCGAAGCTTTGCTCAATGTAAGCGTAGGGCTGGGACATTTATTAGCATTTTTTGCAAAAACATCATGCTAGTACGTAGAAAATCAGAAAATTCTATATTCCGGATTTAGAGGCACATTGAAAAAATGTTGAAAAACTGAGAAATTTTAAATTTCTATTTTTTTCTTCCTCGCAAACTTTTTTGTCCGAGTTCTTTTTATTGCATTTTGTACTACTGGCTTGCGGCTACAAGATAAGCCACTTATTACTCATACTAAGAAACCTTGAAGGGAGTATGAATTGTCAAAAACAAGGTTCTAGCAGGAAAACCTTTTTTGCCTTTTAGTCCGTATTTCTCTTCCCGTTTATGGTTTGAGAATAAATGAGGATGAGCTGTATTGCGAAAGGTTTGCTGCTTCTGAGGGTTTTTACCGCATTCAGAAATGTGAATCTTTTGGAAAGTTATAGCACGTCAAACTAAGAATTCGCAAATCGGCCATTACTTTTGCATCAGCCTAATAAAATCGCTTAGAGTGAGGATTGACAGTTGCCTCACAGTCGATGCGAAAAAAAAATTCCTCTCTTTCCAACAGAGTTGTTTATCCCGAGCTCTCTGATGGACAATCGTATCTTTCAATCGTTCGGATCTCCAACACATCTTTTTTTATCTGCTTCAGATCTAGCTAAGTATCAAAACTTTCCTTTCAGTTTTACAGAAGAGTTTTCAAACAAAGAATTTTGATAGCATCTGATAGAGTAAACAAATACTTAGATACTTAGATGGCCCGGCTTCACGTGACGTGCGGGCCCCAGCTCAGAAGTTTCCATTTCTCCCTGTCCCTCGCTTCTGACATCCACGATCTTCTTGGCTGACGTCGGTGGCTGCGTCCACGAGTTCCAGGTGCAAAAATAGTATCCAGCTGATTTCTCAGCTGGTCCATCCGTTCCACGAATACGTCAGGCCCATCTCGTTGGTGGTCTTCCTCGGGGACGTTTTGCTTCGCGAGGAATCCACTCCGATGTTCTTAGTGTCCATCTGTCGTCTGTTCTTCTCATGATGTGACCGGCCCATCGATGCTTCGCTTTCGCAACGTAATCCGCTGGGTCACGAAGACGGGACATTCTCCTCATATCCGTACTGCGAAGTCCGACGAGATGTTGTTTGTGTCGAGTCATCTTCAGAAGACTACGCTCTAGCGCTCTGTGGGTGGTCCTTAAAGCTTTCGAAGTGGCGACGGTGTCAGCCCAAGTCTCAGCTGCGTAACAGAGCGCCGGGAGAACGGTTGAGTCGAACAGGTGGGCACGAAGCTCCGGGTCCGTCAGTTGGTCGGTGGCTTCCTTCAGAGGCCCGAAGGCGGCCCAGGCTGCTCTTCTTCTCCTGTTAAGCTCTTCCCTCAAGTCGTTCTCCATGTTCATCGAACGTCCGAGATACACGTAAAAAGACGTCTCCGTGATAGGGGTGCCTTCCAATTCCATTTCTGCATCTTCGCAAAGGGCGTTCTTCATGAACTGAGTCTTCTTACGATTGATTCGCAATCCGATCTTCTTCCCTACTTCGTTCAGTACCTTCAGCATCGTCTCTGCTTCAGTGATACTGCTCGAAAAGAGAACGATGTCGTCCGCAAAACGAAGGTTCGACAGGAATCTCCCATCAACTCGTATGCCTCTATCGTCCCAATCCAGTGACTTCATCACCCACTGCAAGGCCGCGGTGAACAGCTTCGGCGAAATTGTGTCGCCTTGTCGAACCCCCTTCCCAATTGGGATGGTCAGGGGGCGATGGAATAGCTGCATCGTCGTTGTACAGTCCTTGTAACAGTCGGCTAACGTCCTCACGTAAGCTGGGTCCACTCCTTGATCGACTAGCGCAGACAGGATGGCGTTGGTTTCGACGCTGTCAAAGGCTTTCTCGTAGTCGACAAAGGTTAGGACGAGAGGCAGTCGGTATTCCCGGCAGACTTCTATGACCCTCAAAACCGTCTGGATGTGGTCCATGCAGCTGAATCCTTTGCGAAATCCAGCTTGTTCTTGGGGTTGGGCTTCATCCAGTGTCCTAGATATGCGAGCGAGGATAATCTTCGTGAAAAGCTTGTACAGCACACTCAGCAGGCATATTGGACGGTAGTTCCGAAGATCTTCCCGTTCACCCTTCTTGAAAAGAAGGACGGTTCTTGATGTTCTCCACTGGTCGGGAATCCTTTCCTTCTGAAGGTAAGTTGTTAGGTGCGACGCAGGATCTCGTGTAGACGTTGTCCTCCAGCTCGCAGAAATTTGACGGAAAGATGGTCTGGTCCTGGAGCCGTGGACGTCTTCATGGTCTGAATCGCTGTGCGCACTTCAGCAGGTAAAATTCGTGGTGGTACTTCTCCAGTGGGAACAACGGGCATCGGCACGGGTGTTGATGAGCGGAAGAGGTTGGTATAGAAGTTCTTCGCGATAGATTCCATCTTGTATGGGGAAGAAGTCGGAGTCCCGTCTTCGTTCAATAGTGCAGCCAGCGGTACGCGATATTCACAGAGGTCCCTTCGGCACTTCTTGAGACTTTGTCTTCCTTCGGCTGCTTCCAGTATCTTGGCTTGCCTGTACTTCCTGAGATCCTCCTGCAGAGCTGTTCTGCAACTGGCGTTGGCTATCAGTCGCTCGAGATGGGTTGCATTCGGATCCTGCCTCAGAAATCTTCTTCTTTCAAGCATTTCCTTGGTGGTCTTCGAAACGCGTTCAACATACTTCTCGGAAGTCACTGAGGCGCACTCTCCACAGGCTCGCAATCCTTTCAGAAGCCGGTCGTAGTCGTGCGTTGGGTCCTCCTCGATGGGCCAGTCGCAACTTGATATGAGCTCCTCCAGCCTGTTACCGTCATAAACGACATTCTTCCTTCTTGCGGCACTGTGGCAGACCTTCTTTTCCAGCCTTCGACTGAATCGTACCTTCGCTCGAAGGAGGCGGTGATCGGAGCCACTGCAGAAGGATGGAACTACTGAGATATCGAGCAAGCTCCACCTTCGGTTGGTGAGAATGTGGTCGATCTCCGCGTGGGTCGTTCCGTTGGGCGATTCCCATGTCCACCGGCGATGTTCTTTCTTCATAAAGATGGAATTTCCATGGAAAAGTCGTGCGGCGGAGAGAAGCCCAACAAGACGGTTGCCGTTTTCGTTCCGGAGCCCATATCCAAACTTCCCGATCCTATATTCCTTTTCTAGTGGCATCCCGATTTTCGCGTTGAAGTCGCCCACAACAAACTTATAAAAGGACTTCTCGTTGCGGACGACCTCCTCCACATCTTCGTAGAAAGCATCTAGTTCTGATTCGTCAGCTGCTGATGTTGGAGAATAGCAGTTGATGATGCTGATGGTCTTCTGATGTGGAGGTCGTAGTCGTAGGATGTCTAGTCGAGGTGATAGGATCTCGTGCGAATCGACAAGATGGACGATAGATGGGTGGACGACAAAGCCGACGCCTCCCACGTTTCGTGATGGAACCTTTTCACTACGAATGATGAGGGTCCCATCACTCATCTGTCGCACGTCCTTCTTCCTGGACTTCGTTTCCTGCAGAGCGATGATGTGGTAGTTGATGTGCTCTGCAGCGTCGAGAAGAGCGTGTAGGTCGGCGTTTGTGGAGACTGTCCTGGCGTTGTAGGTGCAGAGCATGAGGCAATCTCCATGGCGTGTCGTCCGGGCAGACGTGTCGTTTTTGTCCAATCCGAAAGGCGCCCTGAGTACCCTGACATCGTTCTTGCTACCACCCGGCGCCGTAGGCGGGATCCGATGTACAGGGTTTTTTCTAAATCTTCTTGCTGTCTGAGTAATAAAATTTGTTCCCCTACAAGAGGTGGCTTACTAGGCCTACTCTTGATTTCCACGGGGCGATCGCTGACTCCGGGCTTGGAGCGGGGAGGGACCGCCTAGCGACCAGAAGAAGCCAGACGGCGGAGGACCTGGCGTGGCCAGTTCTTAGCTAGGCATCCGGCCGAAACCGGAAACGTCGAACTCCTTCACAGCTTGGGAGGCCCTACCAGAGTATACACTCGGCTGTGCATCGCAGTACGACACCCAGTGTCACCCCCACGCCACGATGAGGCGACCGACCATTGTGGGGGATAGAGTAAACAAAGTACAAGACAATAAAATATTTGGGCATCTTAAAATGGCTCCGGAGTACTTTTGAGGAATTTTTCACGAGTTCTCCATTTTTTTGAATTCGTAAAATACACAAAAGCCAAACACTAAAAAATCTTCGGAATTTGAAACTTTTAAAGCCGAAGACTAAACATCAATTTTACACAGCTGAGCTACCGCTTCGAAGTATCAAATTTTGCATGTTCGGGTTTAGCCTGAGGCGCGTTCAGGATCAAGAAATTGGTGTTTTGTCCTTCAAGCATTTACAAAAAAGAATGAAAGAAACCTGTCAGGAAGGAGAGAAAAGGCTGCGTCGAATAACACGTGGTTGCTCTCTGTTTGATGTCCTTTGAGGTTTGGGACGATCAAATATAGAGCTTGGTTGCATCAAAAAGTGATTTTCAAAATTTCAAAAGCTAGCTATAATTGTCAAAAGAATGTAATATGCTGGACTTTGTTTACTCTGCAGAATTGTCATCAAGCCCTTTCAAATAACTGAGATGAAAATTTTTGAAAAATTTTCGAGACAGGGTGGATAGGAGCGATAAGTTGGGTTCCGACGATTACTCGAGAGGCCATCAAAGACCTCAAAATGGAAACTTCACTGCTAGAGTGAGAAATAAATTTTGTACCCAACATTATTAGTGACTAACTCAACTCCGCCCCGCCCTGTCAATAATATATTCGTAATAGCAAGTTCACTTACAGAAATTTTGTCCACAGTAAATGGGCCAAAGACATTGTGTGTATGTGTATGTGTATGTGTATGTGTATGTGTATGTGTATGTGTATGTGTATGTGAATGTGTATGTGTATGTGTATGTGTATGTGTATGTGTATGTGTATGTGTATGTGTATGTGTATGTGTATGTGTATGTGTATGTGTATGTGTATGTGTATGTGTATGTGTATGTGTATGTGAATGTGTATGTGTATGTGTATGTGTATGTGTATGTGTATGTGTATGTGTATGTGTATGTGTATGTGTATGTGTATGTGTATGTGTATGTGTATGTGTATGTGTATGTGTATGTGTATGTGTATGTGTATGTGTATGTGTATGTGTATGTGTATGTGAATGTGTATGTGTATGTGTATGTGTATGTGTATGTGTATGTGTATGTGTATGTGTATGTGTATGTGTATGTGTATGTGTATGTGTATGTGTATGTGTATGTGTATGTGTATGTGTATGTGTATGTGTATGTGTATGTGTATGTGTATGTGTATGTGTATGTGTGTGTGTATGTGTATGTGTATGTGTATGTGTATGTGTATGTGTATGTGTATGTGTATGTGTATGTGTATGTGTTAAGGGTTAAAAAGGTTATGATATGTTATGTTATGTTAAAAAGGTTATGTTATGTTAAAAAGGCCAGTTTTCTTAAAAGACTTTTGAAATTTTAAGCTCAGTACAAGTTCTTAATAAGTTACAAGTGAAGCAAGCCATCTTGGTCCCCCCCCCCTCCCTTGTCCGCAATGGACAAGACTTATGCTAAAAGTCAACTCAAACTGCCCAGGTGAATTTCATACTATATAGAGCTGGTTTCAGTGCCTTAGATGTTGTGTGCTTCTGGATGTTGAGGAAGGTGTCAGAATAAAGATTTGGACGCAAGCTTTGGATAGAATGAATTATTAACGAAAACATGAATAGAATGAATTATCTCTTTAACTCTTTTAGTTGGAGCAACGGTGGGCATGTGTATGTTGGAAAGAAAGCATTTCTAAAGGAGAACAGCAGATAACAAAGACAGATATGGCTAGCAATTGATGCTCTCCAAAAAGGCGAAATCTCGGTACCACCTCAGTACAAACATTTTCTTTGTACAACCAACTGAAGAAGTATGACAGAATGCTAGAAAGGTGAGGCTTTATCACCTTTTCTAGATCTCGCAAAAAAACCGTCAACTAAATCTTAAACTTTCGTATAACTGAAGTCATCTTCTTTGTGAGTTTAAGCTTTCTTTACTAAACTGCAAGATTTCTGCATTTTATGTCTCCTACGCTATTTATCGGCCCATCGCGATGCTTCACTAAAGTTTCAGATGCCCATCGAATCAATGCTTGAGTCCTGTCAGAAAAGTGCAATGATGCCATCAAAAATAAACGGACGTACCTTAATTTGTCTTGTGCCTCTTTTCTATCAAATCTCTGTCCTCTCTGTTATAATTGAAACTATTTGACAAAAAGGTTCATATTTTTGATTCATTTCAAACAAAATTCTTTATGCGAACAAACTACATTTTATTCAGATCTAAAAAGAATTTTTGCTACCTTTGCGGTATTGGTACCATTCAAGGCCCAAAAGCGTAATGGTAGCTACAAAAAACCTGTTTATTTGATGAAAAACCTTTCACTGAGATGACTGCTGGTGTTCAAAAATTCCCAAACTCGATTTGTAGCCTGGTAGCGTGCGCTTCATCTTCCTTCCAACTTTGGAGAATAAACTGAAGCAATACAGAAGGTTGCACATACACTTCCGGACTTGGCAGAAAGGTCATCTTCATGTATTCAATCAGAAATCCAAATTTGACGCTAGCAAAACTTGAGTGATGAAAACAAGAAACGTTACTGGGGCCGACTGAATGAATGAATCAAGCAATTGAGAATAGGACGGAACACTTCTTAAGCTACGAAAATAAGGCCTGACTGGCCCTATTTTTCATTTTATGACGAAAAACATAGGGGTATGAGGCGTCTCTATAACCAGGTCGGACCAGGTTTCGATCCTCGCCGCTGGGTCAACCTTACCCGCTACCCGATTCGGTATACTTATGTCAGAGTAATCTTAAAGGTTTTACACCTGGTAGTTAGAAATTCCAGCAACTTACTATAAAGGTTTATTCAGTGAATCGTCTACTTTGACGTAAAGTGCATATGCCAGCAAAGAATTGTAAAATAAGATCTCTTATACTCCATTATTGTCAAATATTTTTGAAAATTGTACAACAAGAAGTAGTATTCAACACAGCTGCTGGAAAAAAACCTTTTTACCACATTTTTTTCAAACTAAACGAAAAAATTCGTGTTTTTCTTCCAAGTTAGGTAACTGAACCCAAACTTGTAAAAAAACTCAACTGTGATACAAGTGTCATTATCACGTGTGATCCTACCAAGAACCACTCAGATACTGTTAAAGGCAGCACCCAGGCAGATCCGAGTTCGACGACCACGCCCACTTCCCTCGGACGGCCAATTCCTTATGAACAAAATCTCCTCAGCCTTGACGTTTTTCACATGACCAACACAGTCGAACTTACAGGTTTACCTGTTAATACTTGCTTTCGACAAGGATAACATCAGAAGCACTCGTCCGGGTTTTCCCGAAATAGCCCCAGAAGGTGGTTTTCTGAGTAATTCACGCTTCTTGAGTTCCATATTCGGAATCAACGCCATGGAAAGGTCTGGATAACACAAAAATATAGAAGTCGAGAATCTGCCTGGAAGCTGCCTTTAAGCGGTTCGACTTGTTATAACTTGGTTTAGATAAGACCTTACTTCAAACAGTGCATCTGCACAAGCCCGTCACTTGGAAGCTAATCTCACAGGAATACAGAGAAGATAAGAGTCTTTGGCATTCATGCTGAGAATTTGAGATATGCATCTGCTCAAAATCTAAGAAAACGGTATAAGATACAATATGATGAGAGGATATTGAGTTGGTCGAAATGTTTTATGGACGATTCCATCCACTTACGAGAGTTTTTCTAGTAGTTCGGATATAAATAGCAAGTATAATACTATACAATAGTTTACATACTTTTCTCAAACTATCATTGGTATAATACTTCGCTGCAATGAGCCATGGCTGCAAGATGAAAGCCGAATTCATGTGTTTGTTCTACGTTATGTTTATCAAACGAAAGTCAAAAAAAATATTTGCCTTTTCCGTGTTCCTGTTCCCTCCGATCTGCACTATGTCGAGATAAGGCGCATACTCACAATGTTTGAAAAACCATAAATGAACGATAAATAAAAATGTGGACATTTGTCGATAACCAAAAATTAGAAAACCTTCTCAAGTATTTCTGAAAATTTCTCTTCTCACTGGCAATGCTGTTTACTGTACATAACTTGGTTTATACACTTATCATGTAGCTAGAAAAATTAACAAACACCTCGTAGTCTTTGTTATTGTAGCAATACCACTATATTTGTTATCACAGAATATCATGTGAGTTAGACATTTGAATTTTTTGGCGAAAACAACTCCATAATCCTATTATCCAGCATAAGTTGACATTTGCTATTCAGCATTTCCTACTCGTTTTACTTATTTGGAACATTTTGCACAAAATCTTGCGCTTTTGGCGTACGCTCTTCTTGCTGTGAATTCCCTTTGTGAAATATTTCTATCTACGACTGATTGTGAGCTATGAATCCGACCGAGGATCCGGGCATCTCAAATACGACTTGGGGCCCAGAGTTGATTGAAGTGGCTGATTTTTCTTCTGGTGCCAATGGTAAGTATTAATCTAATTTTACTATGTATATCTGACTTATAATTTAATCCAAAAAAAGTATTTGCCGTTTGCTGGTAGATTTACCTTAGACTGTTTTGCTTACCGTTATTTCCTATCTTATCCACCACCCCAATGAATTGACCAGGTGTTTGACCGTCAATAACTCTCCTGTGTTTATCAGCTTTCGCTGACATTCGGGTACAATGATGTAGGGCTACGTCTAACTTAATTCATAGTACAAAGTGTCTCACTAAGCATTCTTCTTTGATGTCGAGTAATGATAAGAATCTCATAGTTTTTTGCGCCTTTAAGAGTTGAAAAATGTAGCAATTAAAACTCGGAAAGAGCTGAAACTCCATCATTAAGTAAAACTGAATAGCTGATCCTGAATATGGGTTCTGCATCCAACGATTTGTCATTCAAATTTGCACTTGATATACCGTAGCGTTTTCTTGATAGCTTTAGAAAGTTTGTTTTTAATTTGAGGCCCTACGAAGCTCAAAGTACTTTTCTTACTGTAACATCACCATGTTCAAAAACTAATAGCACACTATTTCAAGCTTTCTTTCAATTTTCTGAACAGTACTTATCACGGCCTTCATTCATTGAAAGTTTCCACGGGGTAAGGGACTATACGTCACCGATAGGCTCGACCCCACGCGGATACCTGGTACAAATTCGAAATTCGTGATGTGTGGACTGCGTGGCTGTCGCGATGTCCGCATGGGACCACAGTTTCGGCGACATGATACCCTGCCCGTTCCCACGTAACGAGGAATTCCATGTTATACTATGATAATTTGTAGCCAGGCCTAAAATTAAGCACATAAATAGGTAGCGCAAGAGCACTAAGGTGTACAGTTTACTTTATTATGTGTATTCGGGTGGCATTGGCGTGTCCATCAAATCCTAACGCTTGTTTTTCCAGAGTCATGGAACTGGATAGTGGCTCTTATAATCGTTATCGTATTTGCTGCAACTATTGTGTCCATCTTTGTAGTTCGCCTCCTCTATCAAAAAGTCGTGAACAGAAGAGCTCGTGAAGAAGCCGCAAAAAGAACTGCGGAAGGTTATTAGCCATTACATATATATATATAGGATCATACTAATTTTGATAGTCCAATCACATTTTTTCATAAGCAAGAATCTTCTGTCAAAGGCTCAGTTCTATCCCGTCATCAACGCGTTACTGATATGGCTGATAACTGATATGGCCTCCATTAAACATGTGAATGTACATATGGAAATTGTTGATTATTGCGTACTGTTTCCCGCTAATAAGTTGTCAAAAAGCCAACGAACTCCACCGAAATTTGCGTCGCATCATCTTGGTTCAGGGTGAATTTAATCCAAATCCAAAGCCACTGTTCAACTCACCTCGCCGATGTATGTCTTTCGATATATAGAAGTACCCATGTAGAACGGTAAAAGCTCAGATTTCATGAATTTCTGTCTACGAGAGGTTTTTTAGTGTGCAATGATTAAGCGCAGAAGAGCTACCTTCAAAAATCTGAAAAATAACTCGGATTTAACGCTTACCGTGCGATTACCGTATCCAAACGAGTTTTCCTATGTAAAAAATGCGTCTCCCCGAGCTGAGTCGAACGCGTGCTTAAAATCGGAATACGTCCACTCCTTACCAAGATATGGCGATGCGACGCGAATGTCGGTTATCTCGGTGAAGTTGGCTACTTTCTTGCAAATTGTTCCTATATAATTGTCAGGCCAGTCTGCTTTGTTTGTCACAGTTGCAGCACCTTGATGCTATGAAGATTGTTATAAATATTGCTTTGTTGAAACATTTTCTTGCAATAAATATATGTATTTTATTAAAGCAACAAAGTATAATGAAAATCGAGAGTCGAACTCGAGTTTTTAGAGTACGAACTTAATCTACAGATTACATCTTTGAAATAACACTATTTAGTATATTTTTGTATGTACGTTCAACACGTCTTCCCAACAAGTGACTGTAAGCAAACGTTTAGATTTTTGTACATACATTGGACGGTAAAAAAATGCCTTTAGCTTTTTAAGATGAAAAAAATGTCGCTTTTTCCTCAGCTTAGATTGTTTCTCAAGAAATACAGCATGTATAAGGCCAAAAATTCATGTTTGAGGTCTCGAAGGTTTGCATACAAATGCATATGTATAAGAAAATCAAAGCTGCTGAAAACAGAGTTCGCTATTTCATTTTTTTTGTTGCCATGAAAAATAGAAGTATTTATATGGATGTGCGCTAGCACCTTCACTAAGTTGAAGATTTGCTATACACGAGGCTGATGGGGAACATCAGTGAATACTAGGGATTCGCAAACTCTGAATTTGCCGAGACTTGGATAGCGGATTCATTAGAACTGTGAATGCAACGCTTCTTTTTTTAGGGCGACGCACCATTTGGTGAATTTTCCACAATCTTGGCAAAAATCCCATCACGTGAAGTCAGTAGTGTTTTTTCGATGAGTATGTCGGAGTATGCTAGGCTAAGTTTCAGCCAATACTGTAATGATGTAAAGTTTTCCTGCAAAATACCGCATACCTACCGTAACCCCCACTGCGACGACAGAATTTGGTACAACATTAGTTGCATTTTTAACTCTGTCATAACTTATATAACTGCAAAATTTCGAGCGTGTACTCAGTGAGAGAGAAGATGTCAAATGTTGCAGAACTTAGTCAACAACCTAATAAATTCACACAAGAGGAAATCTATCAAGCTGTTGCTGTTCATTCTTAATACTGCGTATTTGATTCAAACAAAACGATGAAGGTCAAAATCCTATGAAAAGCAATCGAAGGCAAATTCTCTATCAGATGGGGACAAAAGCTTCCGATTTCATTCAGTCCTTGCCAAGTTATAATATTTTCTTTTTGTGTCACACTCAGGGCCCGGCAGGAGGTGGCATTTCAGAATTTTGAAAACGATATCCCCTTTGAAGCCAAAATTTCTTACGACTTCCCCTTTGACCCTATTTTTGACCCCCGTAAGTCCCTGACAAACAGATATACACGAATAATAAGATGGGCGGCCTCAGCCCTTATTATAGTAGTACTACCTGGCTTTCCTGGTCCAGCCCGGGTCATCGTTTGAGGGGAGGGATGGCCAAAAACCACACTTTGTCATTCTACCTTCCCTTCCTTTTGGGGCCATATTCTCCACCCCTTTTCTGCAGTATCAATACTGCACTGCAGCCCTCCCCCTTACCCTCCTGCACGAGCTTACCCCAGAAAGGCTTATTGGAGGGACTGCACCTTCTAATTTTAAAGTGGAAATGAACTTCACTGCATTGTTCACACCAAAATGTGCAAGCAGTTTGTTAGCGGCTGGTAAATGTTCACTTTCCTTGCAAGGTGCCAAAAATCATCAAATCGATAAAAGGATTCCACGAATTGCTTCGAAGGGTAGCTTAAAACCATCTACCGAGGCCGAAAACATATGTTTTCAAGGTTTTAGCTCAATGGGTTCATCCGCAAAGGAATCTATAAAAAAACATAGGGTCAAGATTTGCACAAACTTTGACGTTTATATATCTAAGATACTACTCATTTATTAGTCAGCTGCAAAACTTTACAATTTACAATAACCGATTGCGATTGGAGCGCGCTTTCCGAGGCCGATCATAACGCTGTGAACCCTATTTGGGGCTGTATCGAAGCGGTGCCTTGGTGGTTTTGGAAGCGGATTTGAACATATAGTAATACTCTCGACCTAGTCCACATTTATGTAAAGAAATCCGGGAAATTATGTGAAGGGAAGCAGGGAGCCACCCCAGGTGGCTCCCAGGTGGCGCGGGAACCACCTAATTTCGAAAAACGCTTACCATTTTTTAAATTCACATAAGTTTCTCACAGTTCTTCATACTTTTTTTGTGCTCATGGTCCTCCGACTATACAGCAAATTTGGTGCCGTATCGTTACTTGTGCATTGAAAACGAGCCTATTTTGTTATTTTCCTCTTACAAGAATTGCGATTTGAATTCCCGCCTGCGGGCAGGCTAGCGATCGGAGCACAGAATCTTAATACGACTTCCCCTTTGCTTTTTTGGGCCAAAAACGATATCCAGCTTGTGAAAGCGCCACCTCCGCCGGGCCCTGGTCACACTTTATGTGGACCACTCTGAATACGCTATAATATGTAGTTAGATCTCAAAGCCATGGTAAGGCTAGTGGTACAGCTCGCTGATCGGTGATTTTGGAGCAATGGACTTGCGAGGCTAATGCATCCCAATTATCGATAGAGTGGGCGGTTTTCAAACTTTTTTGGGAAAAAGTTCGGAGTTTTGTTCGAAAAAAATGAAAGAACTGTATTTTTACAACGTGTGCGTGTTTTAACAACCCACGCGCATCCATTGTTTGCTGATTTTCCACAAGTTTCCACTATTTATGTTTACAAATCTTTTTACATTCATGAAGACAGCAAAACTAACGCTTAAGTGTGCATTGTTTGAGCTTGTTTGTATGTGGGGATTTGGTGTATACATAAAGGCTGCTGCATGACGAAGGCGCATAAGCAGTCTTAGCTGAGCGGCCGCGAGCGCGGCGCGCGCGTATGTTCACCGTTGTAGAGCCTGCGCCTCTTGCGCTCTGCGGCTAATAAAACCCGAAGATATTGCGCCTTCGTCATGCAGCAGCCTATACATCATCATAAACCATATAGTATCGACTTCTCAGTGCAGTAATTACCGAATTTTGATAATTTCGCTGTTTCTTCTTTCGCTATAATGTATTCTCTTCTATCTTCTAGGCAGAACGAACAGATTATAGGAAGCAAAAAGTTTTTTGTGCGCTGTCTCTCTTTTCGCATCAGTTGTGAAGCTACGTTACGTGGTGGACTATGTTCGAACGCAAGAAGCAACATTTGCGCGTCTTACCTCTACAATAAAACTGTCCTTGTTAGCGTTATTCAAATCGGAAAAGTAAGCCGTTGAAAAAATCCTTTTTTTTTCGAATAAGTTCACAAAAGGTTGCATTTTCAAAATCGGATGTTTCCGGTAGTCACATGATTTGAGATGAATTCCATAAGCACAACGCATCAAAAAGAGAAATTCTGTTTCAATCAATACACTGATAGAAGTAATGATTCGTATCGCCCTTCTTCTCCGTTATTTATCAAATGCAGCTCCATCTCTTGAAAACTTCACTTCACCTTTCTGCTACTACACTTAAAAAAGGTCAGCAGAATAGAACGTTGACTAGCACCATTTCAGCCACAATGTGTTTATACAGCGGTTAGCTACACTCTTGGCATTTCTGAGTAAACGCTGTGATATTTTTTACCCCTATTGCTGCTGTCATCTTATTCTTACCTCGACTCACACCAGGGACAGTCTACATGCGAACAGTCGTGTGTAGATTGTCCCTGATGTGAGTTGAGGTAAGAAGTAGGCTGGTCAATTTCTGTAACTCTTACATGCTCATCTCGTAAAAACCTTACTAATTCCTTCTTCTGAAAACGCAAAATCGGATGCTTGTGAAGCTAAATTTTTAGGACCGTATTTGCCGGAAATTCTCAGAAAGTGTTTTTATTCGCCCAAAAAGCACATAGGAAATGCAAGGTCTACTCCAACTGCGTTTCTTACAAGTTGTTAGTCAGCGTCCACAGTTGCTCGTGTGCCTTCATTGCACCAGCGCCGTGCCAGCGGTGCAGAAACCAAGTTTTTTGCATTTGCTCTTCATAGACCATCAGGCACAGTACTTGAACGGCGCTAGAACGGAACTGGCACGAGCAACTTTGGAAGCAGCCAAGAAATCAGAATTCCTCGAAGAATTCAATCTGTAGCGATGGATGAAAGAAAATTTTTGACACTTTTTAAGCATTTTGACGCACTCCGAGCACTTTGCAAATATGTGATTTACCTTCTGTATCTTTACTGGAGACAGTATTACAAAAGCAGTCAAAAAAGCCAAAGGAAGAGAAAGGAAGTCGAATCCATCGTAAGTGGAAAATGCATTTCCAATCCTAAAAGGCAAAAATTTTGTGCAGGATTATGCACACTGGAAAGTTAAGGGACCATGTGCCACTTTTTGGCAAAGTATTACTATTTATCGCTTAAAGGCAGCGGCTCGGCAAAATGACA